AACAAGATGTTGGAATGTGTGTGGAATAGAACAGAAAACACGGATTGTGATGCCATTGTATAGATCAGCGGCATGCCTTGCTCTGGAATACTGTGTCCAGTTGTGGTTTATTAAAAAGAGAAATAAGCACTTCCCTGTATCACAGAGCCAGCAGGGCTCAGAGGAAGACACGAAGAGCGATTAGAAACATGGAAATACTACATATGATGGGGCAATATGCTACAACACATAATAGGGTCTTATATAGAGAAGGTACACGGGGTGCTCTTTACTCATAATCCAAGAACAAAGGACATGCTATTACACTGAAGGGCAACAAGTGTAAAACTAATAAAAGGACTTTAATACAACTCACTGCCACAAGATATCATTGAGACAGAACTCAGAACTCAAAGAGACTGGAGATGTAAATGGGTGATTAAACAGCATAAAAGACTCCAGAAGAGAGATAAACCCTCAGACTTCAGGGCATACATCAACCGCTAACTCAGGGGTCGGCAACCTTTCAGAAGTGGCATGCCAAGTCTTCATTTATTCACTCTAATTTAAGGTTTTGCGTGGCAGTAACACATTTTAACGTTTTTTAGAAGGTCTCTTTCTACAAGTCTATAATATATAACTAAACTATTGCTGTATGTAAAGTAAATAAGGTTTTTAAAATGTTTAAGAAGCTTCATTTAAAATTAAATTAAAATGCAAAGCCCCCAGGACCAGTGGCCAGGACCCAGGCAGTGTGAGTGCCAATGAAAATCAGCTCGCGTGCCGCCTTTGGCACGCGTGCCATAGGTTGCCTACCCCTGCGCTAACTGATGGGGGCCAGAAGGTAGCTTCCTACTATGGTTAAGTTATTCTATATTTGTCCACTAGACAGGTGGTACTGGCCACTGGCAGAGACAGGATACTGGACTAGAAGAACTACTGGTTTGATCCATTACTACAGTTCCTATGTTCCAATCCAAATACTGACCAAGCTCAGTTCTATTCAGCTTTTGAGATCTGACTGGATCATAATATAACTGTTATGGCAACAAAGGGGCTTAATTCTGGACACTTCAGTATTTAAATTCCTTCCGGTTTACCTACACCTTTGAAAGAAGAGCAACACATGATTAAGGAGCTAGACAGACTGATTTATGACGACAAACGTAAAACCATAGTTAACTCCACAAGTCTTTGGTAGGGTGGAAATACCAAAAAGGGAGAGATCATTTAGGTTGGTACCTAAGTAATATGAAATTAAAGATAAATTCTGAGTTTCAAGCCAGACTTGCTAAAGTTGAAATCCACAAAGATTGTGGAATGGTCTCCCAAAGTGGACAATGGCAGGGTCACTGCTGTGTCACTCAGAATGAGGCTGGACAAACCACTAGCGGATAAAGCCTATACAAGTAACCAGGGAGGACAGACTAGACCCATTAGTTCTTTAACCATCTCCAACCGCATTAAAAGATCAGTTTCAATTCCAGGCCTGTCACTGTTGCTATGATTCTTCAGGTCTGAAGAAGAGCTCTGACTAGCTCAAAAGCCTCTCTTTCAGCAAGAGAAATGGGTCCAATAACAGATATTACCTCATCCACCATGGTGGATAAAAATCAATTTAAAAAAAAACAAAACAAAAACAAAAATCAGATTTTTATTTAAGTCGGATTTTTTTGATAAAATGCTTTTTGAGGAAAAACCCATCTAAAGATACATTATAGTTCAAAGATGGAATAGGGATTATATACTATACAATTAGAATTTGAGACAATATATTCATGTAATGTTTAAGAAAAGTTTTGTAAATGAGTTCCAATAGTTCATGGATTAGGGACCAAGTCTTATGGGGCTCCAGGGGCTTCTGTAGAGATTATTTAGGTTAATCTTTCTATCTATCCAATAGGACTCAGTGCTCAGTCTAGAAGATACCATCAGAGATGCTTAGTTTTGCAGTTCTCAAACTGTGGATTTGTGTCTCCAGAGAACAGCAAAAATGTTTTTAAATAAATAAATAAATAAATAAATACATAGAGGTGAGAAATAATAGACCTCAACCCTATTGTGTCTCTGCAAATTTGTGTACACAGAGTCAATCCCTTACCTCTCTCTAAAAAGTGCAAAGTTTCAAAAAGTTTAATGAATAGAAGATTGTTGGGGGCGGAATAGATCTGGACAAGGAGAAGAAGTCTGGAGATAAATGTGAGAAGGGAAGCACAGGCAGTAGAAACAAAAGTGAAACTGTTTGGGCAGCATATTCCAGAAGTCTTAAGGTCTGAGTGTAGCCTTCATTGATTTGAGATCTACCATACCATTCCCTCACTACAAGGGAAAACCTATAATGGCAGCAGGCCGTAAAAGAGACCCAGCCTGGGCATAAGAACCATTCAAGAAATATATGTTTGCTGATGTTTTAAAGAAAGTCACACCAGTGAACTGGTGGAAGTCACTTAAGCACTTGGATTCAGAGACTGTTGAAGTGATCATCTCACTTTTAACAGCAGTAACTTCTTCTGCTGGTGAAGAAAGAATATTTCCTGCCTTTGGACTAATTCATTCCAAATTGAGAAATCGTTTGGGACCTGAAAAAAGCAGGAAAGCTTGTTTTTCTTTTCCAGATTATGAACAAACAGGAAAATGAAAGTGAAGATGACTGAGTTAGCTGCAGAAGACAATATTTTAAGTTTCTCATGTTGATCTGTCTGACAGTCTATTTAATTTTTTTCTTTTTTTAAATTTCATTTAACTATTTTAGTTAAAAACAATTTTAACAAAAATAAACCTGATTTTAAAAAACTTGAATGTTTAAAATCCAAATTCAAAAATCCATATGCTTGTTTTGTAAAAATATTATATGTTTGCTGTTGAAAAAATCCAGAGACATGGATGTTCTCCATGGCAAGAAAAATCCTCCAAATATAAATGATTAACCTGTTGAATTGGAGATAGTTCACCTCCCAATGACTTCATAAATATCTGCTTCAATTACCTTTGGTCAATGAAATAACCAAACAATCATTCATTTTCTGATATATCTGTAAAACTATTCTGAAAAGTTTTCAAAATAAATCACTGTTTAAAAATGTAGTGTGTAGCTTCTAAAAATGAAACTTACATCTCTGAGTTTTGAAGAATATGTATTAAGATTATAACAACCAACAAGAATGCACTTTTATGTAGAAATCCATGATTAAATCGAGTCTTCCTGACTAGTGATTTAAATCATGATTTAAATCAAATCTTCCCTTTCACCCACCTTTTCTCACTGCTGCTCTGATTCATTCTTCTGACTAAGAAAGAGCTATAGTGCCAGCTAGTGGAAGACTCTATGATGTACGGCAGCCTCACAAAACTACCCATGAAAACTTATCAAGCCAAGCCCAAGAAGTTCACTTGTCCAGACTTTATCACGAAGAAACTAATGAGAACCCACTAGCCCCATCACCAAAAAAAAAAAGTTTCCTTGCCCAGGACATGAAGAATTTTTCAAGACTGATTAAATTCCCCAGTCCAATGGATGGAACAGTGTTGTTTAAGATAGGAAAGCCCTCGGGCCAGCTGCATGAAGCGATGGGTTTAACAGTACAAAGACAGAGCCATAGCTAAAAAGAATTTGAATTGCTCTAGTGCACTGTGTGATCTGTGAGATCAGCTCTGGAAAGGGGGAACTATTCTTCTTTGGAACCAGCACATTCTCTTTTTTTTCTTCTTTTCAAACTAAGGACATGGTTAATATACCAAAGATTGAGAGGAAGGGTTGGAAGGAGTGACATTTAAAGGCAAAACTGTGGGAACTGAATATCCTCAGTTGGAGTCAACAGATCAGAAGGTAGGAGGTCACCTCCTGAAAACCATGGATTCTCATGCTAGTTTAGGAACCACAGTAGTCCAAGCATCCTCCATAGATGCTTTAGTGCTGGGAGGCTGAGAAAGACAACCATCCACTTTCCAAAAGAGGACAGAACTGCTGAGAATAGAGCTTCTTTAGTACAGAGCTGTATGCCAAAAGAACTAACAGATTAGACATTACTGAAGAGAAGGAACTAGACTACATGGATGTGGGGTCTAGTCCATCCCACATTGGTTAAGTTGCTAAATAGCATATGGCCAAGGTGGAAGAGGGGAGCGATGCTGAAGAGTTTATTGGGCTACTGGGATTCTTTGGCCTTGTATAGATGAGTATATTAGACAGAACCTATCCATGAGGGAAACTCACAGACTCTGCCCATTTCTTCAATGGCCTGTTCAGTTCATGTACAAGAGAAACTGCCTGTAATTGTGGTCTTCAAGAGTAAAGTTCTCTTAAGGGAATGATCAGCCCCGTCATTTATAACAGCAGCTCTCAAACCTGTGGATTGGAATACAAGGGAAGCAAATTTACTCCATCGCTTGCAGTAGGAGCCAGTCTCATGCCCAGAGCTCTCCCATAACCCCATGTAGGCTCCTGCGGCACCTTCTTTGTGGAGGACTGGCTACTAGAAGTGGGGTGACTAAGAGGTGGAGAACCCTGACTCAGCAACTCTACTAACCACCTTCTCAGGGAGCACCAAAGAAGAAAGGAAGGTGTTGTAGGCCATAACGTGGAACAGGTGCATGGGGAAGTGGTTGGAGTGACAGACTGAAGGAAAGGGTAGTCATTCACTTAAGGTCTAATAGTAATACCACATGGACCTGCTGAGAGGCATGGTAAAAGTGTACGAATCAATGGTGGGCTCCACCTTAACATGAAGTCTTAAACCATCTTTACCCATGTGGGATGCCAGAAAAGCAAGCAGCAGCCTTCAGAAGTGCACAGAAGACTTATGGAACATCCGTGCTTACAGACAATAGCGATAGGTGCCTTAGACACTCAATTTAGACAAACTTGAAGAAGCTGCTCTTTGGTGTCATCATTCCTGACCCCCGTTCCCCATGAAAAGATAGCGTTACAGAAGCAAACTTCACAAGAAGTCCTCTGGTGATTAAACGCTGCACTAAAGAGAATAATCACAGCTCTAGGAAACGGTGTGTCCATGCCAACTCACCCCTATGGTTGATGCCATGTAATCCGCACACATTTCAGCAAAGTCCCTCTCAAGTACTCCGTAATAAAGGCCGTAGAACAGGAGGGAAACACCAAAATCCATTGCATCTTCGGGTTTGATTCTGCAGTGGAAGAGGCAGAAAAACGTCAAACGAGTTCTTCAGTCAAACAAAGTCGCTTCACTGAACATGTGCAAAGCTAGCCTGCTGTAAAAACATAGCATGACAGGGTCAAAGGCCTCATTAGCCATATTTAATGGTGTGCTAGGAACCTCATCTACCACATAAGAGTTCAGTCTTGAAATACACCGCTACCTCGATATAACACAAATTCGGATATAACGCGGTAAAGCAGTGCTCGGGGGGGGCGGGGGGGAAGCGAGGCTGTGCACTCCGGTGGATAGCAAGTTCAATATAACGCAGTTTCATTTTTTGGCTCCCGAGGACAGCATTATATCGAGGTAGAGGTGTATCCACACATAGTGGTGTCATTCACGACTGCAATGTCATAATCCCTGTAAATACCAGATCTTTGGGACTTTTGGCAAGAGTTGTCATCTTCTAAATGCAGCGATATGCATTAATGTAGCATCTTGTGCTGGTGAATCTGTCTTTTGTTTTGAAGGAGATCAGACTAGATGATCACAGTGGTCCCTTCTGGCCTTGGAATCTACAATCCTTAAATTGCCTAATGTGCATGGAGTCCATACCCTTCACTGCTACACTAGGACCACAGCCTCGCTTGTTCTAATGGTGAATTCTCAGGCAGTGTTTCATAGCTAGATTTAAGGGGTAGTTCTGAGAGACAGGGGCTTCAGTTGCTGTTGCAGGTACTCAACATCTCTCAAGAAGAGAGAAAAAGCTAGCCAGGAGTCTCCTTGATCATCAAGGCTGGAGATGTTACACAGTGGCAAATAACTTTAGAGCACAAAATAGAGAAATCACAGAGCCTAACTTCTCCATGCTTCTGGGGGTCGGGGGGGGGGGGGGGGGGGGAGGGGAGGAGGAAATCAGATCAGTACAGCACAGGTAGAAAAAAAACCCACCACACAACTCTAGATAGGGTGACAACTTAGACCCAGTTACAATGCTACAGTATCTTGGAGCTGGTTTTACAAGTGACATCAGGATTCCTGTTTCCCAGGAGGATGAACATTAAAGGTACTGGGTACGGATATGCACAAGAGGAAGAGCTGGCAGAAGCTGGAGATGTTAACACTTAAGGAAAAGGAATGGATGTGTATGACACCTGAGCATTCTTGCTGAAAGCGGAGTTCTGGGCCGATAAGAACATAAGAACGGCCGTACTGGGTCAGACCAAAGGTCCATCTAGCCCAGTATCCTGTCTACCGACAGTGGCCAATGCCAGGTGCCCCAGTGGGAGTGAACCTAACAGGTAACGATCAAGTGATCTCTCTCCTGCCATCCATCTCCACCCTCTGACAAACAGAGTCTAGGGACACCATTCCTTACCCATCCTGGCTAATAGCCATTAATGGACTTAACCTCCATGAATTTATCCAGTTCTCTTTTAAACACTGTTATAGTCCTAGCCTTCACAACCTCCTCAGGAAAGGAGTTCCACAAGTTGACTGTGCGCTGTGTGAAGAACTTCCTTTTATTTGTTTTAAACCTGCTGCCTATTAATTTCATTTGGTGACCCCTAGTTCTTGTATTATGGGAATAAATAAATAGCTTTTCCTTATCTACTTTCTCCACATCACTCATAATTTATATACCTCTGTCATATCCCCCCTTAGTCTCCTCTTTTCCAAGCTGAAAAGTCCTAGCCTCTTTAATCTCGCCTCATATGGGACCCTCTCCAAACCCCTAATCATTTTAGTTGCCCTTCTCTGAACCTTTCCTAGTGCCAGTATATCTTTTTTGAGATGAGGAGACCACATCTGTACACAGTATTCAAGATGGGGGCATACCATCGATTTATATAAGGGCAATAATATATTCTCCGTCTTATTCTCTATCCCCTTTTTAATGATTCCTAACATCCTGTTTGCTTTTTTGACCACCTCTGCACACTGCGTGGACATCTTCAGAGAACTATCCACGATGACTCCAAGATCTTTTTCCTGATTTGTTGTAGCTAAATTAGCCCCCATCATATTGTATGTATAGTTGGGGTTGTTTTTTCCAATGTGCATTACTTTACATTTATCCACATTAAATTTCATTTGCCATTTTGTTGCCCAATCACTTAGTTTTGTGAGATCTTTTTGAAGTTCTTCACAGTCTGCTTTGGTCTTAACTATCTTGAGCAGTTTAGTATCATCTGCAAACTTTGCCACCTCACTTTTTACCCCTTTCTCCAGATCATTTATGAACAAGTTGAATAGGGTTGGTCCTAGGACTGACCCTTGGGGAACACCACTAGTTACCCCTCTCCATTCTGAGAATTTACCATTAATTCCTACCCTTGGTTCCCTGTCTTTTAACCAGTTCTCAATCCATGAAAGGACCTTCCCTTTCATCCCATGACAACTTAATTTACGTAAGAGCCTTTGATGAGGGACCTTGTCAAAGGCTTTCTGGAAATCTAAGAAAGATACTTGGACCACTTTGAATGATCTATGTGCAGGCACATCGCTTGTGATTGCTCTAGCAGCCAGAAGAGAAACTAGTCAGCACTTTGTTCTCCTATGTTACTGATGACATGACTAGGACTATATATGGCCGTACCTATTTACCAGTGTGTTTTAAAGAGCCCCACAGCTAACACTTGGCTCTACGCAGCTTTGCCATTTTAACTCTGAGTTAAGCAGCAAAGATTTACTCACCTGAATAATAAGTTAAGACCAAAAAGAGTGAACATTACAGCCATGTACCCAACAATTCCAGTGGCATAGCTGATCTTGTATATCAGTAGAAACCATTTATAGACCAGTCTGTAAAACAAAACACACGCCCAAAAGTGAAGTGATTTTACAGGTATTTTGAAGGGAGTTTCATGGAACACCTGAAGGAGTTTTAAGATTCTAACTAAAGCTAGTTTATCACTTAGGACATTTGAGCTGTTCAAATGAAAGGGAGATAGTGGGCTGCCCATTGGCTGGGGAGCCAGATTTTCAGAGTTCTAATCCCAGCTCTGACACTTACTCTCCCTGTGGCTCTTGGCAGGTCACGATGTATGGAATGTCATGACTTTCAAGTCCAGAACTTCATGACCTTCTAGGGATAGAAAATACCCCCACTAGGACATGGATCCATGTATAGCCCTGCAAGGCTACGATCTACCAGGCTTTCCACCTGTCGCTCAGATCAGCAGAGATTCTGGGGAAAATTAATATTTCAGTGACAGGCTGATTTTGTTTGGAGCTGATCAGTTGTCAGCAATGTTAGAAGCACTCCTGACAGAGATGATTAGTGGGCAGAATCCAAGTGAGACGGTCAAAGGAGTGTGATTAATGCAGTCCCATCATAGGGTCCCCGGCACAAGGTGGGAATATTGCTGGAGTCAGAAGCTGAACTGCAAAGCTGAAGCAAAGCAGTAGGTCTGCTGCATGGAAATCTGAATAAAGCCAGCTAACTGCTGCTCTCACAGAGGCAGCCTGCGCAAAACCATGGCTAGTTTTTGGTTCATGTGGCTTATGAGGAGATGATCGTGCTAACCTCGGAGTCGTCTGCACAAGAGGTTTACGAGTTGCTCTGAAAGTGACAAAGGCCGTGACAGCAGAGAAGAGGACCCAGATCACCAGGAATCGCCACCAGTGCAGCTTCGCCGTGAAATAAAGGGGAACAACCCACATCTGGAAGAGGGTCACCATCTGCAAGAACAAAACAAAGGCATTTCAACTAAGACCGAGCTCACACACTGAATGGCATTGAAACAGGCTACACCAATACTGGCAGCCCCTCTGTTCCCCCATGTCCCTCTTAAAGAGAATACATTCTTGGCTGTATGGCCCTGGACACTATGAAATCTGAATTAAATAATATGTTACCCAACATTTTTTCAGTGGGTTGAGCGAGGGGCAAGATGGGACAGATTGTGGGGAAGGTTTAAACCAGAGGGAGAAGTCATTGTAATATTATAAATGAGCTACTGGGGTTTGCTCAACTCTGCTAGAAGAGGCATATCTGCTCAATACTTGCCTCATCATTTTTTGTAAGAGGGTCACAGCAATTTTCTCCTGTTCGGGGGTCTTAAGAGTTTACCCACACATCCCTCAAAGCAGATACTAAACAGATGTACACAATAGCTTCAATTATTCCATACAGATTCTTTCCCAGCACAAAGTTTTTGCAATGCAAATGGAATTGTTTGCAAAACTGCCATGTAGGAAACAAGCCATTGTCTGGCACTGTTAATTGGCATCATGAGGGTTGGAAGAACCCCCTGTTGTTCTTGAATGGAACGATATTCCCTGATGTATAGTCTGATGCACCAGGATAGCAAAATCAATGGTGGCAGAGGGACCAACAGACTTGAGAGGATTCAGCAAACCAAGCGATCAGACAAGCAGCTGTGAGCATTCAAATGGCAAATGAGGTCAGCGACCATGAAATCCAGCTTCCACTCAAACAGTCTGTGTTATTCTGAGTAACGACAATGGTGAAATCCAGCTTCCATTTACATTGTTCTGAGTAACACCAGGGGTGAGATCCATTTGTTTCATTGCCTCCTTAAGGGCTAACACAACTTGGTATAAACTCCTTACTAGCAAAGAGTTACATATGCCAGTGGTTCTCAGCCAGGGGCCCGGGGCCCCCTGGGGAGCTGTGAGCAGGTTTCAGAGGGCCCATCAAGCAGCCAGCATCAGACTCACTGGGGCCCAGGGCAGAAAGCTGAAGCCTCACTACATGGGGCTGAAGTCCAGGGCCCTGAACCCAGCCACCTGGGGTTGAAGCCAAAGCCTGAGCAACTTAGCTTCACGGGGCCCCAAACAACTGCCCTGTTTGCTACCCCCTAACACCAGCTCTGCCTTTTATATGCAGAAAATCAGTTGTTGTGACAGAGGTGGGCTGTGGAGGTTTTACAGCATGTTGGAGGGGGAGGGGGTCAGAAAGAAAAAGGTTGAGAACCCCTGACATATGCTACACTGATAAGGAAATTGTATTTTGTGGCCTATGTCTCTCATACAGTTCCAATGCGCACTGTTGGACAGGGAAGGCAAATGGGTATTTCAACATCATAGGGCAGTCAGAGAATGACATTACTACAACTGTTTATATAGCTAAATGCCAGAGGGTGGATGAAACAGGGTGGGAAACGCTTACATTGTAGGAGCGAGGATGTCTCTGTTTCCACTGTACCAAGAGGAGCTGTGCAACCACTAGCGTGGCAATGAGGATGAGGACCATTTCGGCATGCATGGCCTCATGGCCACGGTGCTTGGCGTGCATCCGAGCATGCTCGACCCTGAAATGAGAACAAGGCAAGTCAAGTCTGGAGTGCACAGGCTGGGATCAGGAAGAACCTGGTATGTAGAGCAGCATGGCAGGGTTGCGGGAAAGTTTCCATGTGAGGGGATGGAAAGTGATTGGGGGGGGGGGGGGGGGGGAGAATGTAGGGGGGGGGAGGCTAGCAGAGAAGGATGCTGCTATAATCAAGATAGGAAAGGCAGAGGAACACAAATCTGGTCTGGTTCTCAGATTCTAAAGCTATAAAAAGCCAGGCATTTCTTTGGCTCAAGCTCTGTGCAGACAGGACAGATTAAGTTTAAAGTGTCTCCTTGGTGCTGTCCGCCTTTGGGAGCAAGGAGAAGCAGATTGCATCTCTTGTACCTACAATCTTGCAGTTGACTAGTGCAGCATTAGTGGCTGAAGAGGCTCCCTGCCATCATGGCTAGAAGGAGAGGCCAGAGCATATGAACTGATGCCCAGCAGAAATATAAAGGGCCAAAATAGAATGGACGAAATGTCCCTTCACTTCAATTTTGCATAGCAAGAGGCATCCCTCTCCCTCCTACTCAACGAAGGGGACAGGAGCCCCAGCTCCCACCTCATTTACATGAAGTGCAGCAGATTGACATCACGTTTGTCTTTGAGAGAGGAACAGTCCTCAAAAACTGCAGATCCCAGCATGCAATGCTCCCTCTTTGAGGGCAGCTACCAGCTCATCTCAAGATAGAACTATGGGACTTGTAAGCTACATGGGCCTCACCACTATATTAAACATGAGCCCCACTGAGTTGTGTAAAGCTCACGGCTGCTCTCATCTGGGCTACAAGTCATGCTTTGGGAGCAGGAGAAAATGCTCCTAACTCACGGTTCACTTAGGACCAAGAGAGCACAATGCAAACTGAAAATATGAAACAAAGCTACTTCTGTGAACCTTCAGGTCATTTCTACTGATTAACATTCAAGTAGGCTGAGAGTACAGCGAGGCCAATCCTAAACATCCAACTAAAACTGGTTGGATTAACAGAAGTGGTGGGACAAATAATCCAGTAACACTGTGCAAGGCAAGTGGGCTTAGTCCACAACTAGATGCTATCGCTATGCATTGACAACTACAGCAATCCAGCCTCATTGGATAGTAAGACGGGAGTGAAATTAAGATCTACGCATAGGTTCACCTCTCCCGCACCCACTGCAATGCACCACTCACCTCCATCTCTCTTCGGGGGACAGTCGTGATAGATCAACCTAGGGAGGAAAAGCCATCAGTTACTGAAGTCCAAGAGTGGCAGTTAAAGCCTACAGGAGATCATTGCAATACTTTGTTTACACACTAGTTGAAAAAACAAGCTCTTTTCTGTGTAAGAGGAACTGTCCCTGGCTAAAGGCTGTCACAAGCAATTTAAAATCATAACCGACAAGGAAACCACCACTTAGTGCATGCCTCACGGTAATCATGTTGGAATTCTGATTAGGGCTGAAGGCAATGCAAGAGTATTATGTTAATTGCAAGGCTGTCATTAGAGATCCCAGGAAATCATGGTCAGAGAGTGTGCTGCTTAGAGTCAAGTAAGGGGTTCAGAGGAAGAAGCCACAAACCCATGTTCTAGCCATCTTGATTAGTCACCTTAGCAATCATCCTCCCAACATTAGCTGCTAGCAACCTAGGACTTCCACCTCTGCCCTATACCCTGGGCACTTGTGAAAGTTCCAAAGAATCTTTGCACCACTCCTCACGATTGTTAGATCACTTGGGTGTCTTCTAAGGTACATTACCACACACCACTTTGACATCTCACCTAGATACACAACTTAGGACAGTTTGTTCTGAGCAGTGGCTGCAATCTCAGGTACAGCCTAGTAACCCCAAGGGAGTAGATGATTCAGCCTCCTGTTTCATAGATGTAAGGGTCAGACGGGACCAGTAGGATCAGTCTGAACTCCTACATAACACAAGTCGCAGAATTTCACCCAGTAACTCCTGCAGCAAACCCATCGTCCCTGACCATCTTTTGGGAAACATTCAATCTTGAGTTAGACGTCAGGGGATTGCGAATTTACCACATCCCTCGATAAATTGTTCTAATGGTTAATTACCCTGAATGTTAAAAAAATTATCAGCCTCATTTCTAATCTGAATTTGCCTGGTTTCAGTTTCCAGCCACTGGATCACCTTATGCCTTTGTTTGCTAGATTAGAGAGTCCTCTTCAACCAGAAATCTCCTCCCCATGTAGGTACACTTGGTCAGAGGGCATATTTTCCCCCTACGGTAACACAAACACTGACGTGGCAGGCAAACAGTCACTTTGGGTGTGGTTAATGAAATCCTATAGATCCGACTTCATCTCAGCTCATCCTTAACTGTATTTTTATTACAAATAGTTAAAACCAACAAAAGCAGGTTGCCTGGGGCCCAGACCAACTGACAGCCACGCAACTGTTTAGACATGCCAGCACACTATTGAAGTCAGGGAGTCAATGTGATATTTGTATTGGCCCTTGGCTTTGCCTCACATCATAGTATCCGTAAACAGCCAGGTGAGCTTGTTCCGAGTGACGTACATATGAAACGTTGCACCATTGTGAGAGACAGCGCTCAGTTTGCAGACAGGCCGCGTCAGGGGCATAGCATGCATTTCCCCAGTGCAAACGGTGTAAAAAATGAACATGCAGCTCCTCTTTCCACATAAGCTCATTAGATTAACATTCCAAGTTCAGATTTAACCTTTAATCTTTTTATATGCAGCACTTAGATCGTGTGTGTGCAATACTGCTGACTTCCCTCAATAAACCTGCCTTCAAACAAGATATAGAACTGAGTGCTCAACGACTTCTGACCATTAAAGATCTCACTGACCCACTATCAAACAGGGACATGAGTCCCAGTGTCTTGATTAAATTCCATCTTGGCTAAAATTCTGGTTCCCCTGTAGTTTCTGCTGATAGGGTTTCCATTCTCTTTTGTCCTAGGTTCCACAGTGCGCCTGTGCACTGTTAAAGAGCTGCTGTATTCCACCCCGGAAAGGTGGAATTACAAGGGATTTAGTCCCTGCAGGCTTTGGAAAGCACTTTGATAAATGCAAGATACCGCCATAAGAAAACTTTTATTTAAGGTTTAGGGTTTGCTTAAGAGACCGAGTAGGTGGTGATATAGGAGCTGAAGAGATGTATTCAGATCAGTGCAACTCTCCATGCTACTTATTCCTGACTATTGGATACTATTTTCTTGAATCATGAGAGGAAGCCACAGGACTTTCAGTTACAGCAGAATTCAGTTTAAACAGTCAGAGTCAAGAAATTCAGTACGGCAGATAATCTGTTCCCAACTCACTGTGAGTGGGAGAAGCACAAAAGAATAAGGCTGCTATTCAAATTGCTTCAAATTGCTTAGATTTTGCTGGTGTAGAAATTACTGACATTCTCCTCAGAACACTGGAAAAACAGTTACTTCAGCAAGCACAAGGCAGCTTCTCTACCTCAGTGTCCTTACTGGATTTCCATGCTGGCGCAAGTATGCTCCTGTCCCTCCCATATAGTCCATGTGCCGTAACCCACCACTGACCGTGTCTATGTTGGGAAATTTTTAGAACAGTTTCCCACTGTTGCTAGAACTGTGTAGATGGGGTTATCTACTGACTGTCTTGACAGGCTGAGGAATAATCCCGCAAATGATGGAAGCCCCATTGCTTGAGAAATTTTAAGAGAAGAGGAGAACTAGAAAATAAGCTATAGGAAAGAATCCTATGCAGACACGAGGAAGAATGGAAATGAGCTAATAGTCCATAGATCAAATGTAACCTCTGATTTCATAACGTCTTTTTTTAATCTGCTAAGTGCTGACAAATTTTCTCAGCATTCAAAACAATAATACAATCTCTGCCTGCAGTAGCTTACAATCTAATTCGCAAACACATGGGAGAGACCCAAAGGTTGGTGCCAACTTAAGCAGTGATCCAAGACACACTGATTCAATAAGACTAGTCCTGTGCATTCTGAGATTACCCATGTGTAAAGTTACTCAGGTAACCAAACGTTTGCAGGATCAGAGCCCTGCTGTATTTTAAATAACAGGGGTAAAAAAATTAGATGTGACCATTAGTATAGTTAGGCTTTTTCAAAGTTAATCCTCACTGTAACGGAAATGTTTTTACTGAAGACTAAACTTCTTCGGTTCCCATCTGCAAACATCCCGCAGGAGAGGGGACAAGCAGTTTCTCATATAGAGTTATGCATCAACTAGACAAGAGAAGCTTTTAAGGGAACATTACAATAAGCATACCAGTTGTTTGAGAATGCTGGACAGCCCTTGTGTATAAATGGGTACCACCTGAGCAGAAGAGAGCTGCCTCTGGGGGAAAAATGCATTCGGCAACTTTTAAAAAAAATTACACACCTGAAAGGTAACCTGCAAAGGGGGGAAAAATGGGTTTGTGTCATTGTTGCTTTATGATGTAGAAAAGAGACCCCTTAAACAAATGTTCCCTTTCAATGTCAGAGGTACTAGGATTATCCAATCGTGCTCTCTCTCTCTTTTCCTGGAGGATTTCTTAGATGACTCAAACATGGACCAAGAGGTTTCTAAGAATTAAACTGAAGGGGTGGAGGCACTGAATCCTTAAACAAGAGGGTTTCGCTCCTAGGTATTCAACAAAACCAAACCAATTTGAATAAACTATGTTCAGCTAGCTATCGGTGAGTGGAAAGTACTTTGCTCAAGGTTTTTATTTGGAACCCACAATGAGCATCACTAAATTGAAGAGCTCTGAGCTATAAGAGGGCAATAAAGAGATCTCATGAAGATGGTGAACTCTTCTCTGTATGCAGCTATCCTTGTAATTTAACAAAGTTCACCCATGCTAGGAAAAAAAAAAATATCCACGTTGTCTGATCCAGAAAGAGGGTCAGCCTCACCCGAATATATGGTGTTTTGCCTGGCCAGCAAAAGCTTGTTAAACTTGTCTGAGACTAAGCCCTGGTCTAGACTGGGGGGAGGGGGGGGGAAATCAATCTAAGATACGCAACTTCAGCTACGAGAATAGTGTATCTGAAGTCGACGCATCTTAGATCGACTTACCTCGCATCCTCACGGCGTGGGATCGACTGCCACCGCTCCCCCGTAGACTCTGCTTCCGCCTCTCTGCAGCGGTGGAGTTCCGGAGTCGACGGCAGAGCGATCGGGGATTGATTTATTGCGTCTACACTAGATGCAATAAATCAATCCCCGATAGATCGATTACTACCCGCTGATCCGGCGGGTAGTGAAGACCTGCCCTTAGTAAAGGGAAAAGGAATTAGAGTGTATGTCATAACTATAAAGGGAAGGGTAACAGCCCTCCTGTGTACAATACTATAAAATCCCTCCTGGCCAGAGACTCCAAAATCCTTTTACCTGTAAAGGGTTAAGAAGCTCAGGTAACCTGGCTGACACCTGACCCTAAGGACCAATAAGGGGACAAGATACTTTCAAATCTTGGTGGGGGAAGGCTTTTTTTTGTGCTCTTTGTTTTGGGGGGAGTTCGCTCTTGGGACTAAGAGGGACCAGACATCAATCCATGCTCTCCAAATCTTCTGAACAAGTCTCTCATATTTCAAACTTGTAAGTACAGCCAGGCAAGGCGTGTTAGTTTTATCTTTGTTTTCTCAACTTGTAAATGTACCTTTTGCTAGGGTGTTTACCTCTGTTTGCTGTAACTTTGAACCTAAGGCTAGAGGGGGTTCCTCTGGGCTCTTTAAGTTTGATTACCCTGTAAAGTTATTTTCCATCCTGATTTTACAGAGATGATTTTTACCTTTTTCTTTAATTAAAAGCCTTCTTTTTAAGAACCTGATTGATTTTTCCTTGTTCTAAAATCCAAGGGGATTGATCTGGACTCACCAGGAATTGGTGGGGGGAATGGGAAGGGGGGGGGGGAAATGATTAATTCCTCCTTGTTTTAAGATCCAAGGAGTTTTGGATCAGTGTTCACCAGGGAGTTGGTGAAAGAGTGTCTCAAGGCTACCCAGGGAAGGGAGTTAGCCCATTGGCAGTGGTGGCAGCGGACCAGATCTAAGCTGGTAGTTAAGCTTAGAAGTTTTCATGCAGGCCCCCACATCTGTACCCTAAAGTTCAGAGGGGGGAAGGAGCCTTGACAGTGTATAATAAGGATTTTCTCCAGTTTAGACAGATTTTGGGTAGCAAGATGATTCACTCAAATCTGGTGGTGACTGAAGAAGAGTTTTCAAATATCCCTGAGGCATTTGCTTAATACAAAGTCTTCCCTTAGAGCTAGAAACCATGCTTGA